ATAGAGATTTCTTGCAATTATGAGAAGCATATCGACGCAAAAATGTTCACTTAGACCAGGGACAGACAGAGAGAAAAATATAAATTGGACCAACCAGTGACGCCTTCCGCCGACACGCAGATCGGAGACGGAGATAGTGAACAATAACATTGAGAAAGAGAGTGAAGAGAGAGAAAGAGAAATGGGGGAGAGAGAGAGAGAGAGAGAGAGAGAGAGAGAGAGAGAGAGAGAGAGAGAAAGAGAGAGAGAAAGAGAGAGTGAGAGCGACAGAGAGAGAGAGAGAGAGAGAATCTTTCATGATAAATTAAAAAGATGACAGGATGGTTAAACCAAAACACTACTCTAGCAGACAGAATGGTGGGCGGACTGACGGACAGAAGTACGGACAACCTCTGAATAGTGGATCGACAAGAAAACAGAGAGGTGGAAGAACGGAAGAGAGCGATCAGAAGCATTATGTAGGCGATACCGAAGACGAAAGCGCATAGTGCATGTCAATCCATACAGAAAAAAAAAACAACTAACAACAGCTCCAGTCATCCTACCTGCGAAATATTTGGAGTCGAGAATTCCCAGCAGCTTGTCTCGTAAAGAGGTAGTTTCGGGTCAGCTAATAAATCTCTCGCTCTCCCCGTTGGAAGCGTAAACAAGCCGTTTATAAACAAAAGGCCGGACAGGCCCCGCCCACACAGAAGGATAAGATTCAGACGTGTGCCACACACATACACACATACACACACACACACACACACAGAAGAGCACACTGACCCCGAGAAGAGGCTGGAACACAGAACCTACTAGATCTAGAATCTAGATCTACACACTGTCACGGAGCAAAAACAATCCTGTTTGAAAAACACACAACAGATTCACAAGCGGTGCGTTTTCTTGTTTGTTGTCATTGAACATACGAAGCTCCAACGTTTCGGGCAGTCTTGTTGCGAATCGGGAAGGCGAAAACGTCGATATCTTCAGGAAATGTCACGCAACACAGGAACGGACCACGACCAGGCAAACCTCTCTTTCCTGTGATCGAGAATCGAGATGCTTCAAAGCGAAATCTATCACACAGTGTGACCGTTACTAGGGAGAGGTTCTATTTCTCGTGTGAGGACCCACGGAAGACAACATTCAGCGAGCTGGTTTCGGTGCGTCGTGACACAATATATCCACTGAACGTCGGTTTAGCACAACTGATAAATCGCTCACACTACTCTGAATGTCCTGAAATTCCATAGTGCACATCTTCTTACAACGCTGTGCATAACATCTCAACTCCAGCGAGAGCGAACTGGAAAAACTCACTCGCACCGCCGCGCAGTAGAGGTCTCCTAACGAACACACAGGCAGGGGGAAACAGAACACAGCGCGTCGCAGCAGAGAGCTCAGCAGCACACTCGGCACGCGGACGAAGGGAGAGCACTGACGGCACTGAAGCTAGGGGAGACAAGGCGGGGAGTATCAAGTAGCATCTTGCAGGCAGTGCCCGCGCGCGTGTGTGTGTGCCACGGTCCCCCCTCTCTCCGAGCGGCGAGTTGTCGGCCTTGTGCGCGTGTCTTGTGCGATGAGGGGCGAGCGCCGTGGAGCCCAGCGAAACTAATCAATAAATGATGAAAACCGCCACCCACCCTTTCCTGCTTCATCATTTCATTTGTCCAACCCATCCCTCTCCCTTTCCCTCCTTTCCCTCCTCGTCTTTTCTCAATCACTCTATTTCTTCTTTTTCGCTTTCTCAAAACCGCGTACATGTGTTCTTATTATCCTTCTAAAAATCTTATGTTGTGTGTGTCTCCCCCC